TGAAGTTGATGGTGCCTTTTGGCTTTTAGAATAAAAATTTCGACTCAATTATTGTTCATGTCCAGCCTCGTATTTAAGTACATCAAAGATGGAACATTTTTCTATTACTATGTTTTAAAAAGTAGAACCATAGTAATAATAATAGGATGAAACTTCTTGACCCAAGGACACTGTGTTATAACAAAGAAAGTATGAAAAATAAATCACAGGAAATGTATTTTTTGTTGTTTTTCTTTGCCAAAACCAGAGGACGTCTAATACCTACATACCTGCCTACCTATCTACTTTCTGGGCCAAGTGGACACAAGTGATTCTTTTTAATCACCTAAAAAAGTTGAAAATATTTATACAATTTTTACACAGATCAGACATCAAAATACAGATATTATAATACTTATATCATAAATAAATGTAAAAACTGATTGAGTCAACATACTGATGCATAATAGAGCGTTAGTATAAAGCGATAACAAGTTTGTGTTTTCATTTTGTTGTGTATGGAAGCGATTAAGTAACAAAACCCTAATTAAAATGGATTAATAGAAATGCTGTTTCATTTTCAACATGTACCTGAATTTTTTGACTCATAAATAAAATTATAAATACATAATCCAAAAAACAATCAGTTTCTGTACAGCGAGTGAGCTGTACAGAAAAGCAACACCATGGGAACATAACAACACAGCTCGCACAAGTGTTCCTTGTGCAACCGGATTGTGTCATGCTGGTGTTAAAAAGTGAAAAAAGATGGAAAGTTAAAACTATAAAGCATTGTGCAAGGACTGTAGGGGRAAAAAACATTTGTATTCTAGAAGTTTAAAAGTTTTCTTCATTCATTTATTTGTGTACAACACTTGGCACCAATGACACTGGTAAAAATGTGTATTTTAACATTGTTTTTAGTTGTATGAAAACAACTTGTTGGCACAATGATTATAAGATATATGACGTATTCAGAGTAAAGGTTTGTTTAAGTGGTGGGAGTGTATTTAGAAACTGTGAGAAAGCGTTCACCCTTCAGCCAGGCCTGCCTGAACATGAGACATTATCCCAGCGTGACGAAATCTAATCTGAGACTCATGTTCTGTTTGCAGATCCATAGGTTACTGTATGTAGCGCTCAACTGTCTGCTTCAAAACGACACTTTTTTTGTTGTAGACTTAATGGTAAAAACAGACTAGCTTTTATGATAGGAACCCAGTGAAAGGAAAACAAAAACAAAGCCGATCAATTTCCTGTACCTGTGATGTAGATGTGATATTTGTTGTCTGGCTGTTGGAGGAGTGATCTGAGGCCCAGGAAGCTGATTCATGAACAGCTTCCATATACGTACGCCCAACAAAATACTATAATTTCTTCTGCTTTTGTCCTCCACTTTTCTCGCTTTTAAGCACAGGCTGTAATGGTCAGGTACAAGGACTGGAAAGAAAATGAGTAAACAAGCAGTTGAAGTCCAAAGAAAAAAAACCTTTGAATAATGYATCAAGATGACTTTAAAAGATAACTGAAGTGAATATAAAGGGCGACAAATAAAACAGTGCGTTGTTAGAGGTGTTTGTAAAGAAGGCTGATCAGTTACGACTCTTGGGCAAAGCTGAACAGAGAGTCAAAAGAACGTCTTGTCCCACCCTGATAGTAACTTAATAGATTCAAGTCTCTACAAGACCCATAAAATAAAAGGTTGTTTTGTTTAAATTCAAACTGAACAATGACACCACGTGAGTCAAAGGGTTCATTAAGATTTTAAGTGTTTTATTCCTGCATTATCCAACTTTAAACCTACTTTAAAGAAACAAAAAATATGTCAATCAATTCAAAATATAGGAAAAAAATCACAAGTCATCTCAAGACATCTGGAAAAACATTCTCAGTCAATAAAAGTTATCTATTGTAGGAAGCCAGCAGGTTATGTTGAATATTCACCTCATCGCTATCTCCCATCCTGAGCAGCACGATGGTGAAAGTGGGAAGGAATGACCCCATTTTAACAGGAAGAAACCCCCCAGAAGAACGGGGCTCAGGATGGGTGGCAGTCTTCTTCAACTGGCTGGGGTTAGAGAGGACAGGAAGTGGCGCAGACAGACACAGAATGACTGAGATGTAATTTCTAAAGGAGGAAAGACAAAGAAAAGCATGATAATGATGGAAATAATTATAAATACAAACACACAGAGTGAGTAAAGAAATGTGGTCAGTTTGTCCTCACTGGCAGAACTAAGGGATGGCTGAGGAAACCCAGACCAGAAAATAAACCCAGAAAATAAACGTCTCAGTTTCTCCGAAACACCCGCATGCGACATTTATTTTCTAAACATGATGTCCCAGTAGCTTTCAAACCCCAAAACACTTTACGGCATAGGCTGGTTCACCCCAAAGATCCGGTGCCCCGGCACAAACAGAGCAATATTGTATATGCTGTTAAGTGCCAGGAGGACTGCGACCAGTTATACATCGGGGAAACAAAGCAGCCACTGTTCAAAAGAATGTCCCAACACAGACGAGCTACATCTAATGGCC